AGATTTAATATAACTAAGGACCTGTACTAGCCTGTACCTAAGTATCATTTTGTATTTTTATCTTATCTAAGGGTTACATACTGTTCATAAAAGGGGGTGCTAATAATGACAATCCCACAGAGAATGGCTAGTTCCACATGGTGTGTTAGCATCTTTTAGCTATTCGTTTTGGTTTTCAGCCAAAGTCAAAGTTTTGGTTCAGTGTCACCACACAGAGTTGTTTCAATCAGCATCGGGCAACACAGTGTGACACTTTGGCAGCAGAGCATAATGCACAATGAGACAAGGGATATAGATGCTTTGTGTACAGGAGCATCTGTACCTGATAGTCAGTGTGTGTCTTTGCGTAGACACATATGACAGTGGAGGAACAAGGCAGCAGCCTGCGTGCAGACCTCGTTCTGTCCTTAACATGTGGCTCAGCAGTGAGCCACGATGGTCATTACAGGAAATGATCACAAATCATTAAAGAAGTGAATAGACAACCAAAAACTGGCAAATAGGTTCACGTGTGACCACACATTTAGGGACCCTCACATCCCTGCAGGGCCAAACTAGGACGAGACCTCAGTGAAGTATACACAGAATAATGGTCAGTATCACCACTTCAAAGAGGTGGTGCATGTGTGTGTGTGTGTGTGTGCTGGAGTCTGTGGCTGTATTTGTCTTTTTGTTGACCCTCAGAGGAGCATATGGCAGCCAACACAAAGCCCTAGCCCATTTCCTATTAATACTGATACTGCCTCATTACTCTTCTCAGAGGTGAACAATAGGACACCAGGGCATGCATGCATGAGCAGATACACACACACACATCCTTGCAGTCATCACTTACAGGACCCATACATAAACTTTCCAGGAGACTTACCCTAACCTTAACCAAGGCCAACACTTGCTTTAACCTTACACTACATCATTTTTGTGAAATTTGATGAATTAGTCGTGGGGCCCAGCTCTGGGTCCCTGTAAAGCAGTGTGCTCCCAGTATTCTATCCCACAAGTATACAGTATATAAACAGGGCCACACACACACGGCTCCAGATCTCTACTCCTCTCTTTTTACAGCCCCCTTTTCTCACTTCCAGTCCTTTCATTTTCAGATCAGGTCCTTTCACCCAGAGCAGGCAGCAGCTGCAGGGCTGACTCTCAGAGGGAGGCAGGGACAACAGCAGGACTGAGTGGACTAGTGCAGAGCCATACATTAACTACTAATTACCTCACAAAAGCACACACACACACACACGGTTATATAAAAAGAATAGATAAAGTGAGCATTTATACTCACCAAAACACCTATTATGTGATTTATGTAAGCCTGCACTCCTTTTGGACTCTTTTTGGACAGAGGCAGGGTCTCACACACTGCAGCTTGAATTATCTTTAAATGTTATGTTTTTCTGTGTTTTCTGACTTATCTACAATGTTACAAAACTGAAATATCATAGTGAATGTCACTGAAAGCTCAAAAAATAAGGTGTACCTATGTTGTGGTGGCTGTGGTTTAGTGGGTAGAGCAGTCGTTTCTGGAGGTTTGAATCTTGGTGCCTGCAGTCCACATGTCAAAGCGTTCTTGGGCAAGACAATGAACCCCCAAGTTGCCCCTGATGGTTAGAGCCATTGGTGTGAGTTGGTGCCGCAGATGGCTGCCTTGGCTCTGTACCGGAAACAAATTCCTTGTTTGTAACCTATTTGTAACATACAAATAAAGGTGATTATTATTGTTGTACTTCTATGCAGAAGCAACTTGATTTTTACAAGTCTCACAAACTCTCACTGGTGAGACTTTTTTTCTAACTATGTAAAATCTTATGCATTAGTTTACAAATTTTCTTGAATGCTCATAATGTCCAGGCAGTTGCACGTTCATGTGAGCTTGCCTGACATCCACCTGTGCCATTGTAAAAGCTGAATTTTTGACTGTGCCTGGTTTTGTGGATATATTTTATCTCCTGCTGCACTGTGACCAGAGGACATGTTGAAAAATACAGGGCCTGAGGTTACTGCATGTCCAGGAATGCTCCTGTACAGGGACTCGTTTTACCTGACAGGGTCTAACCTACAAGCAGCCGGCCTGTAAAGCCCCCCACGGTGGTGAATGATCAGCTCATCAATGCTGGATTCCCCGGAGCACAGTACCTGTTTATTTTAACTGGTTGAAGCCAGTGTGTCTGCCACATGTGATGTGTTAATGGTTAACAAGAGGATTTTAATAATCCATGATTGTTGGTGCAAATCTACCTGTTGGGATTGTATGTGGTCACCTGTGACACAAGGAATTTTTTGGGGAAGACGCATTAATCACCGGTTGACATTTTCACCAATCAGGGATGTAACAGTAAGTTTAAAAATACACTTGTTGCATGCCTATTAATGCCTGGTTTTTGTAGAGAATTGCTGTAAGTTTGGAGAAGTTACTCTGTCTGCATTATGCCAGTTAAAATATGGGGTTTCTCAGTTATGCTCTGTTTAGAGTGTTACAAATCTCTTTTCATCGGTACATATACCCTTGTTTACCTATCTATGGAAGATAAATTCAGATTAATTCATGCTGTTGTGGGTTGTCATGCTGTCCAATTTCATCTTCTGGCTTGAACATGTCAGGTAGGATTTGAGGTCTTGTCATTGTCGGAAACATAGCTTTGCCAGTGTTTTTTTGTTTATACCTTGTGTAGCTTCATGACTGGCAACAGGAGTTGTGCGTGTTCACATACTATCCTCTCATTTTTAGGAATACTCTTTCTGGTGTTATCATTCTGCAAATAATTACAGACTATTTGTAGTTATGATGGGTGCAAAGCTAATCTAGAGGGACCCAAGATTAAACATTAAATGGCTGGAAATGAGGAAAATGAGCAGGCCATCAGCTATTTAAGGAAACCCGATGATTGAGCTGCACAACCAATTCTGCTCCATGATTGTCACTCCTTTAAAGTGATTTGGCAGCTTCAGTCACTTTACAAATTAAGATGTTTGCATACAAAACACAAAAAGCTTATAAAAGATACATTTTTGAAAAATATATTAAATTACCCAACAGAATAACAGAATGGAGTATTTTAACAGTATGGTAGTTTCACCTAAGTAAAGGATCTGACTACCACTAGTCACTGCTGCACAATGTACATGTAGACTGATCTTTTTATTGCAGAACAGAATGTAAATCATGACTCTTATATTAGACTCTTATATTAGACTGATAAGACTGAGAAACTGTAACTAATTTCAACAAAAAAACAACTAGTATTTGCTACAACATGTGTATTTTTTGTGGCTGTACTGCACAGCTTGACCTTGATTGTCTTATCACAGATCTTCGGCAGCCCTAAAGGAAAAACTGAGCTTCGAAGACGCAGCAGCTGGAGGACTTGACTCAAAGACTACCACTAGGCTCTGCTTGCCTCCACATGTCTGTGAAACATGCTGCAGGTATCGTGTTGTTTTATGTCTGTCGCACAATTTCAGTGTTTGAGAGAAAACATTTGTTTGTCTTAGGAAAGTATGTAAGTTGTAACCTCCGGTACTGCAGCACAGGATGAAACAGTACACTCACATGCCTTTCCACAGGTAAAAGCCTAGATGAGTCACTGCAGTTCAGCCATACCCAGATTAGTCCTGGAAACCAAAGCAAAGACCAAACAATAACTGAGGTTTCCCTCCATGAACACAGGGACACTCTAGTCTGTGATGATTCATGACTAATACTTTTTATATTTCTCAGTGTTCATTAATAGAGGCAAGAGGTGTACACGTGCTTTTCTTCTTTCATGATCTTTTAAGAATCTATTTTAAGAATTGTCCTGAATAAAATCAACACATATAATTTATATGTAATCAAATGTAAACTCCTTTTGATTTAATTTAATATTTTAATTTCACTCAACGTGTTTTCTAAAGTTCAGTGAATTAAGTTGATTTTACATTTTCACAGGAATATACAGTAAATAACTACATACACATGCACCTCAGCTTGCTTTGTTTTAATGTGCTGTTTGTCTATAAAATGTTCCCAGTGCCAAAGGATTACATGCATTTTTTCATGTGAAGTGATTTAAATGTTTGATTATTTTTTGTCAGTTGACAAATTGACTCAGGGCGAATCTCAGAGTCTGGGAGGAGGCCCCGGGGAAGACTCAGGACACGCTGGAGGGACTATGTCTCTCGGCTGATCTTTGCTTAGACTGCTGCCCCCGCGACCCGGTCCCGGATAAGCGGAGGAAAATGGATGGATGGATGGATGACAATTTGACTTGACACTACTTCTGGTGTATTGAATCATTTTCATTGTGTAATGTAAGCTGAGTGCAGCAGCAGAGTATTATTCATGGTCTAGTCATACCTTTGAGTATAATCGAGACACTCCCTGTGTTTGGGCTGTCAGGTGTGGGATCAGCAGTGAGGTCATGGTAGGAGAGGTACCGTGTTTCCGCTCACTTTCTATAACCAAATTTACATTTGACTTCTAGAGAACTTTGAACCAGACCATCAGGAGTCATTTTATTTTTTGTTGTTATTGCGTTACTGCCATATAAGCTGTGAGTCAGATCCACTTAATTCTGGTAAAGGTGCAAACTGAATCCCACCATGACTCACTCTGAATTGTTGTGGTTTGTTTTTGTCACTGGATGACAGGTGCTACAAAATGACCTAAAACCCTGAAAATGATATCATTAACCTAAAGGATTTGTAGACTCATTTGTATGGACAACAGGGATGAAGTCCTGCCATGACTCAGTTGTCCTACATCTGATCATTTAAAGGAATTACTCAGTGCCCTCTATGGGTCATAAGCTCTTTTGTGGCACTATCTGATATGTGATCCACTGTTGTAACAAAGATCAAATAACCACAGTTAATAAAAGTGTCCTCAGCTTTTTGCATACCTGACTATAAGCAGTGAAAAGCACCTTACTGGCACAGTCACACACAGACGGTCAGTGTGCCAACAAAAGGGTGGAGTCGGTGCATTGTGATTTTTCACCTCCCCTAAGGGATCAGATCCTGCGTTGCATCGGGAATGAATCTAAGGAGAGCTTCCCAAGGAATTACGCGTCAAAACCGGAAAAGCGCTTCACGTTTGAAATCGCAGGCTACCCGGTGCTAATTATTGTAAGGTGATTTCAATTTAGTAACTTACAGAACAAAAACATTTGTTTATGTGCAGTCATGGAGCGCACCGCATTAGTCCTGCCGCGCGTACAGCCCGCACCGCGATCAGCGCGTAAAAGCGAGTGGCTCCGGAGCGCCCTGGCCCATCACCACTGTCCCGATCCCGGCGTGGAGAACGAAATCGTTGTCTTGGCCACTGGAATAGACCAGTACCTGCAGGAGGTCTTCCACCACCTCGCTTACTCCAACAGAGGCGGTACTGTATCGGCGGAGGATTTCACCACGCTCTGTGCCGTGCTGGGGCTCACCGGAGTGGGGAAGAGGACGATGAAAGGATATGAAGGTGCTGTAGATGGAGAAGAAAATATAGAAGATGAAGAGTTTAGAGATGTGTGCTCTGGGCTGCCCTGTCAGCTGTCTTTTAAAGACTTTCACTCGCGGCTCTGTGGGTATTTCCGTGTACGCAGTGCGCGGAGAGGCACCGGGGAGTGTGTCTGGCGCTTGCCCGTTACTGAAGACACGGAGCTGGTAGAGAGACAGATCAGGCTCAGGTGGCCGCGAACCAGACGGAGAAAGTGTGTCACTTTTGATCTGACGAGAGACCAGAGTGGACCTGGAAATAGGTCTTTTCGAACCACAGACAAACGAGAGACAGGTACTGCACCTGGTTGACAATATGTTACTGTTGCACTTCTTACACTTATTACAGTACATAGGGAATATTTCAGTTAGCTTATAAATAGAGCAGTTATTGTTTTTGTTAACGTGGTACAGGCAACATGCACTGGAACATTTCCCACTTCACTTTAATTAGTGAAGTCTTCCATCTCCTGCGCCACCTGTTCATTCTCCGATTCTGTAAGCCGGTGGTGAAAGAACCTGGTTTATTCACTTAGGTGTAAGTACAAACATTACAAAAACAAGAATCGTGAATTCAAAACTCAACTTAAGAAATTGTTCAGAAGTAGAGAGTTATAAGGTGAACGTTGTTACCGTTACAAAAATAAAAGCACTGGTTCTACAGCAAAACTACTCCCGTGACTGACATACTGTCTCACATTGTTACATTATTAATGCTGATGCATCAGTGTGTAAGCAGCATGTTCCTGTTGTAACTATAGTCAAGAAGCTAGTTTTAACTACTTTGTCTGTGGTGCTTTCCAACCCAGCGATCAGGACCCTCCAAAAGGTAACAAGATAAATCTGAGGGGTCTAACAGCCATTTTGTATATTTTTAATATTTAATATTGTCTGATTTTTTGTTTTTGTTGTTGTTGGTATGTTTGTTTTTAATCTAAAAGAACCACTACCTTTAAACCTTGTGAGAAGTATTATAGAGATAAAAATGTCTTTTTAGCTGAAGGAGTTCCCCAAACACCTTTTTTACTTTATAAGGGGTCAGAAGCCAAAAAAAGTGAGAGCTGCTTGTTTAATCTTTAACAGTGAATAATACTTTTATTAATATTATTTTATTACTATATTACTGTATCTTTATAGTGACTATAACTGTCTGATACTTGGAGCTGAGCCCAGGTATAAAGTACTTTGCAGTAAGTTGCATAAAATGGAAATAATCAAAGTACAAACACTGCAGAATGAAGTGAATTTACTTGGTGCCATTCCACCAGTAAATTACCTTCTCCAAACATAGCCATGGAGAATGTCTTCATTTACTTAAGTAAACATACTGTGCTGAACAAATATTCCATTATCAGTAAAATTCCTGCACTCAGAATGGGTCTTAGTAAAATGTTCACGTGTATTATCATAAAAAGTCAAAGTATTATGTATTGTATTAAAGTATATTGTTGGATTATTACTTGTATCAATATGTCAGCAGCATTTTATTGTTGTAGTTGGTATGGGGGAGATCATTTTACTGTTTATACAAAGCTATTTTCTTAAATCTGTAATCATATAGTATAAGCTGGTCATATATTTTGTATGCACAAATACATTCTGTAAAGTAACTAGTAACTATAGCTGCCAGATAAATGTAGTGGAGTAAAACAGCACAAGATTTCCCCCCGAATTCTAGTGGAGCAGAAGAAGGCTGTACCATGCAAGAGAATGGAAATACTCAAGTAAAGTGCAAGTGCCCCAAATGTGTACAATACAGAACTTAAATCAATGCACTGCAAAAAAGGGTTAGGGATGCATGTGTTTGCATTTTAATGAGATACTGTTGTGTATTGCTGTACCTAGATCAACATTTTAATGAGAAAAAAGGATCTTGAAATGAACAGTGATTTGGTTTCACATTCATTACAGTTTCATCCTCCATGTCTGTCTTCTTTTCTTCTGCAGATGAGGTATTGGCTCTGAGGGAGCTGGTGGAGGACCTCCGCTCAGCACTGCAGGGGAGTGATGCTCGCTGCCTGGCACTGGAGGTGGCGCTCCGACGGGAGAGGAGCTGCACCCTCACTGCTCCATCCAGGTTTAACACCTCAGTTTCAACTCATGCAACTTCCATCACCCTCAAAGAGGGAAAACTGGTACCAACACACAGAATTAAAGGACAGTGTGGTGGTGCCAGAGAAGATGGAGTGAGGAGGGTGGCAAACAGACTGGACATCAGGGACCCCCTTCTGAGGGAGCTGAAGCTGATCCGCTCCTCACGTGACGGGCAGCTGGAGGAGGCTATGAAATTCAATGAGCACCTGGAGGAGGAGCTGCGATGGGCGTACCAGGAGGTGCGCAAGCTGCAGGGGTTGGAGTTTGCACTGAGGAAGGAGAATGCTCAGATCAGGTGGGAGTCAGCATTTATTACTACAGAGTTTTAAAAGTTGACTGGATGATGTTTTAATGGTAGAAAAGATTAATATTAAAAAAATGGTTTGATCTCCATGATGTTTTAATGGTAGAAAAGATTAATATTAAAAAAATGGTTTGATCTCCACCAGGAGGCGGACGGAGGAGGCCAGGGAAGCCCTGAGCCTGGGACTACAGAGGGTTCACCAGATCCAGGAACAGGCTCAGTCTGAGCCTCAGCTCCAGTCCAGGATCATCCAGCTGGAGACTGAGCTGCACCAGTACCGGTACAGCTGCTCTGTGTGTCCTTGAGTGACTGGAGGAAATCAGTGCATGGATGTGTTTGTGCATCCATTTACACATCATTTGCCTCTGTGCTCTGTTGATTTGAAATTCAATGCACTAAAGCACACAGGTTAAGTTACACACAAGCTACACTCAATCTTAATAAGAACATGAGGTAAAAAAAAGTTCATTTCCAGCAAATACCATTTGATTAATGTTTAACAAAGTCTCCTTCAGTGGCCAGACTATACTCAGATAATGTCATTTCCCAAAATGCACTAGCGATTGAACCAACTCTGCAGGCTGAAATCGCTGGCATCATAAACCACAAAAAGTACAGCTGCGCCTATCTAAAAATTTGTTTGAGCAATAAATCAAATGGCTATGTGTAATGTGAAAGGTGTAGCTTGTAGTGGCAGATCCTCAGTGAATTATCATCCAGCTCTGCAGTTGCTGTCTATAGAATCTGTCTGGTATCTTTCAGATCATTGTCTTTACTGCTTTGCTTCTCTCTCACTGTTCTCAGCAGTTTTTTGTGAATAAGCCCCAATATCTTGCTGAAATCACTGCACTCTACTTACACAAATCCAAACAGCAACCAGATACAGTTAGTAGCTAGCATGGCAAACCTGAGGGGGTTTTCCATTATGAAGGAACCTACTGAAACATGTCACGCACAGTAACGCTCATCACAGGTTCTGTGTTTGTTTCCTCTGCACTTTGGAGGTGCATTCTGGGAGCTACAGTTCAGCACCCCTCAGGAGGTAGTGTTAAAATCAAGTTCCAGGAATGCAAGGGGGGAGGGGGTGCATGCCCTCAGAGCAGTCACTGGTGATTAGTTAAATATTGGTGTCTTCAGACCTCAAGCATTAACATTATAAGCAGGCTGTGTAAACACATGTAAAATGAGGACCTCATTCGTTGGTTTAGAGGTAAAACAGGGACTTCAGTGAGTGGACCGGGGGCAAAGTGGTGAAGATGTCACATTTTTGCAAGTTTGTGCTCTGTTTGTTCAGCAGCTGTTTGATAAACTGCTCATACAGTCTCTGTTACTGGCTGATTGCTACACTATGGAGTGATGCTTCACGTCCTCTGCTTCCCTATGCTCTGCTGAATGTATGTGAGAGAAGAGCACAGCCCCTCCCTCCTCTAACCAGAGACCAATACAGAGAAAATACAGTGGAAAACCAAAGCAAAGTGGTCTGCATCAACCTGAGAGGTTATGCTGGGTGAAGTACTGTGTATACCACTCGTTAGGTTCCGATAGTGGAAATGCAGCTATAGTGGTGCATTTAGAACCTAAAGGACCAGACTTCTTTATCTGGAGTAATGTGGGTGAATTTTGAACTTAGACTGATCACATGGACAGAACATTACTCCTAATGCATGCTAATCTTGGTCTGTGGCTGCACGATGTGCAAGTAGACAATTATTTGTTCATTATTTTTAAGGTAATAATATGTCAGTGTTGTTGGTATAGATTGTTCTGATGCTCCCAAGTGGCCAAAAAAATCAATCATTGCTGTCTTAAAAGTATATTAATTTCAGCCACACCTTTCCTTTTTGACTAATGTCAGAGAGGTGGCTTCAGCAGTCTACCTACTTTACTTGTCTAACATGGATGGCTGAAGCCTTATACTAGCTTCAGATAAATTCTTTGCACAGAATCAGGGTTTTGTAGCTTTCTCCCTGATCACATCCATTGAAAACATGTGAGGAGGGAATCTTTTAATATCCGGTATGAACAAGTGGAACGATTAGAGCAACCAAGGCTCATTTCAGTGATTATAAGGACACCTGAGCTTTGAAAAATTGTGATGCTTTCCTTTAATTCCAGTTTTAAATGCAGGCGGTATATTTCATATCAAGTCAGATATTGGACAGTGGGCACATGCTATGCTAATGTGCAAAAAACACAGTGCAGATAGAATTCTTTTGCCCTCTCTCTCATCTGGGCAGACAGCAGGCTTTCTGTGATATGTTTCTCAAGTCACAGCGCCATGATAAACTAAATCAGACTTGGTGACTACTCAAAGGACATAAATGTCATGATCCCAGCACTGCTTTGTTCCTGCACTCTGACACAACATCAGCAGTCTAATGTGTGTGTATGTTTGTTTGAAAGCATTAAAAAAAACAAACTAGGATGTGTTACATTCCATAAAAACAGTCTGTAAAGAGTTCATTAGACAGGTTCCAGCTAATTAATAAAATACATACCAGGCTCTGTAACACATACACATTCACTAATAAGGATGCCTCTGTCCACACTGTAAGTGGTATTATATTGGCAGTATATTTGAGTTATGCTCTATGTTTTCCACCATCAGTTCCTGCTGTACCTGCATCTCTGACGCCGCCCATCAACAGATTTATTCAGCTGGAGCAGAAGACACCTGTAGCAAAATAGGTAGGTGGCTGGAAAACTGAATGAGCGCTGAATAATTATGGATCAGAGGATGTGTGTTCTAAATGAACTATAGTTTTTCTTTGGTTGATAACATTTTACAACAGCCTTTAAGGACAGCTTTTGCTCCCTTTGGTATGTTTGTTAGGGGTGATCTGTAAAGCTTTGCATTGGTGGATGAATATTATTTTCCAACTACACAGAACATTATTCATCCACCAACACCATTAAAATTAGGCTCACCAGCACTTTTTTGACCATACATATACACAGGTGTGGATTCTAAATCACGATGCCTGGCCAGTAAAGTAACTAAATCTGCTGTTTGCAGATGCAGAGTACCTGCAGAGAGCAGTGGAAGGAAGGGCTGCTTCTGATGAAGAGGAGGAGGACAGGGGGGCGAGGGAGGAAGGACAGTGCTGTCTGTTAGATGTGAAGAAGCATAACAGCCAACTGCACGTTTGTGGCAAAGGGTTAGCTAACATCTAGCACACACGCACACACACACACGCACACACATAGTGAATATAACTTTCTTCTGCTTTTCACACACACACACACACACATACTGAATATAACTTTCTTCTGCTTTCTCCCAGATGTCACAACCATGTAGTCCATCGTCTTCTGTCTCAGAGTCACCTGCAGGATAATAACCTCATCAGCACTTCTTGGGACAACAGGGGGTGCTGCAGCTGTAGAGGACTCAACCAAGAGCAGCCAGAGGGCAGCAGAGGCTTGGAAGCAGAAAAGGTAGGAGCGAGTTAGCTTGACATTTAGAATGCATGATACTAATACAGTACAATACAATATGATACCATACTAATACAACTGAATGAATCAAATTGAATTGAACTGAATTCTTCATATTATGGCAGAAGTTGAAATAAAAAGAAAAAAACATCTACATATAACTTGAATAGATTCACAGTAGTTTGTGGCAGTGCAGTAGTTTTTTGGCAGTGGCCCATTTCTCCTCCTGTTTGCCAGAGGCCTGAGGAAGAGGAGGACAAGACGAGAAGGCAGGAGGAGAAGGAAAAGACACGTCTCTCTTTGCTGGAGGAGAAACTCACAGATGCCCTCACACTGCTGCAGCAGCTGCGGAACAAGGTACTCACACACATAGTACACACACTCACGCCATTCACTTTCGGCATACACATGCACCCCTTCATTGCCATCGAGTGTTTAGTCTGTCAGTTCTTTTTCTGGTGCTTGTTCAGATCACAGTCATTTAATTTTTGGAGTCTATGTAGTTTTTAAGCTGAGATGAATGGATATTAAATGTATTTTTTCATTGTGATTTTAACAACCATGAGGTCTAATGGTGAGTGTTTGATGTTTTTGGCAGGTTGCTTTGGCAGTTGAATCTCAGGGCTGATATGTAGACAACAAGTGTCCTGTCATAAAACACCAAAATGTTAAAAATGTGTCTTTTTCTCTAGAATATGTCCCACAATGCCCTGGGGAAGATTGTAATGGACACTTTGGATGAGTACCACAAGAGTGGAGATGGTATGTGTTCCAAATTGTCCAAATAGTCACATTTTTGTGTTTCTTGTTGCTGAACTTTTTCCTAAATTTTCCAACCCAGGTCCATCCCAGGTCCTGCAGGTAGCTGATGCCCTCTGCCTCCAGTTGTCCTCCAGTGATCTCCTTGGAGATGGCAAGGAGGATGGAGGAGGAGGAGCGAACAGAGAGAAACTCTTGGCTCCATCTTCAGGGCATCAAACCAGCAGTCTCAACTCTCTGCTGATCTCCTGTTAAATAAGCTAACACTATGGCCCTTATCCTTTCAGTTTGTGCTTTCCCTTGAATTTATCTTTGGCGTTTTTGCACCTGCTACAATACAGTTATGTACTCCATGCTTTGAAAGTGGTTCACTGCATTGAAAGATTAATTATATTGACTTTATCAAATCAATTTGTGTTTCATTTAGTATTTATTTAAATTTAATGATTAAATATTTCATCCAAACCAGTTGATCTCTGTTGAGTTGATACAGAGAGATCTGACAATATGATTAGAGGTCAGAGTTGGATTTCACAGTCTGGGGTTTCTGCTACATAGTGGCTTTCTCAGCGGAATATACTGTCTTTTGATAAAACCCAACAGCATCTCGTGTTTACAAGGCCATGTACTGCTGTATCATGGGAAATCCACAGGGAGGTAGTGATTTAGTCATTTCAAAACTGATCTGCTGGACATTAAAATGTTAAAACACATGGAGCTGCAAGTTTAAAATGCAAACTGTTTAACATATTTAATTTATTGTACTTATAACCTGAACCTATTAAAAGATATTAAAGAGGAGTTTTGTGCGTGGCTGCTGTATTTGAGGTATTTGCACTTATATATTTCTATTTCATGCTACTTTATATTTCCACTCCAGTATAATTCAGGAGGAAATATGGTACTTTTCCAATTTCCATGGTCTAAGAGCTTTAATTCATTACCGTGCAGATTAAGATTTTACATACAAAGCATATAATAAAACAAAATTATTTCACCTCATTCAGCTACAACAGTACAAAGCTATAAGAATAAAGTTACTCTAAAAGATGACAGGTGCATGGTGTGTTTTTGTAAGCTTTCAGCACAATGCTACTTACACATCAATGCATCGGTAATCATAAACCAATATTATATGATAAGTTGCAGGGGCTATTTTCTGCATTATACGCATTTTTATGTTTAATACTTAAAGTATATTTTGCTGATAAGACATAGTACTTTTAAACCTGTTAAAATTCTTGCAAGTGGACATTATATGCAATAATGCCTATCTATCTATATATCTATCTATCTAAACAAAGAATGCTAATGCTAAGCACTCAGTTTTTCATACAGTAAATACCCGCATCTATTGAGTGTTTTGACAAAATAGTTTTCGCAAGTGAGAGCTGTTTGTTTTTCGACCAGCTGTTTTAGTTTCATCCAGTTATTAATAATTCATCCTCAACATGTAATCAAACTGATAACATTTTTGATCTATGCTTTTATGAACAGGCATTTTCTTTTTGGGTTTCTATCATGAACTTGTTAGCAAACAGTTGTTTATTTCTACAGCCAGCAGTTACAGAGCAACATCATCACTGTTGAATGTCAAGTCCAGAATTTGTTCTCTTTTAGCTCTGTTTTTGGTCTTTATCTGAGGGTAATATGTAACTCTTTAGCTAAATGTTCAAAATGTTTACTAGCTAGTTGCTAACTGTGTCCACCTTCTGTTTCATGCTGAGACTGTAGTGTATAGTGGGTATTTACTATCATTACACACTTAAAGATACACATCAGCCTGTAAAACGTTGTTGAACCAGTAACAATACATTTACAGCAAAGGTGACATAAACAGACACTGAGACAGAGAAATGGTATGAAATAATATAGTCCTTTATTTCAAGCAATTTACAAAATCCTGCAGGGAGAACTCCTTCCTCCTGCCTCACAGAGGGAGGGCTTTTACAAGAAGAACACACAGAGAACACAAAGACCTCAGTCCCAGTAAGACCGAACATGTTTTTACATCAGGACAGGTGGAAGTTAGAGTCTGAATCAAAAGCTCCGTCTTGATGTAGATGCAGCCTGAGGATCACCGTGGTCTCCCTGTGAGTTCAGGGGCTCAAGGGTTTGAAGCACTGAGGTTAATAAGGCAGTAGGTGGGTGATGCTTTTAAAAGGCTCTGTATGTTACATACAGTACAGGGATGAAACATCTGGAATCCTAAGGAGATCTAACACTTTGTTTTGTCATTATGCACTTGTTTTTCAGGTTTTCTGGCCTATGTCTGTAGGTTGATATTTTCTTTCTCTGGTGTTTACCTTGATTCCAGAGCTTTCAGATGCCCTGTAAATTTAACCTAGTGAAGTCTTCGTTTTTGCAGATTCACATGAAAAGCTGATGATGATGCTACCAGCCCTCCTCTGTACCACTGCATTGTATATTACACATTCTAAATCAACTTACTGTACATCTTTTATTAATCAGATCTAACGAGATAAACTACTCTGTGACGAACCTAGCTCCTGATTGGTTACTCTGAGTTGAGCTTGGCTCTGATAGGTTAAGGCCATTCCATGTTTTATAAGTATGCCTTTCCTGTGTGACACAGGGTATGTGTGCATATGTGTGAAGTGCGTAAATACTGGCATTAGGCATGGCGCTATTCATTAGCCTCACCACCATTCTATTGCAGCAAGTGCCAAAAACCTCTACTGACTTTTGCAAAGAAAAAAACAGCATAAAAGAGAAGAGAAAAATGACAATGTGGTGACAAAGAAACTGAGACAGAATGAAATGACAAAATAAACAACCTTATATATAGAATAAATATAGTATGTACAATTTGCTTTGTGTGCTTCTAAAATAAATAGACAAAGCATTACTTGCCCCCTTATAGAAGTATTCACAACTTTCCATTGACGTAGAGGCAGAACGCTGGCACCTGGTCAGTAGAGTGGAGTATACAGAGATGGAAGGATAAAACTTTTACAACAAGTCAAACGCTGTAGAACAGAAGACAATATAAATGTCCCTCTGGGTGAACACATGGGTTTGAGGACAGTTCAGTTAAAAGGAACTGTGTGGTGCCCTCTGGTGTCCATTTTGCAGATTACAGTACTTTGTGCATTTGACAAATGTCAAAGAAGTTGCTTCGTCTTTACAGTGGATGTTTTCTTGGTGAAATTCATGACACAAAGCAACAATTATGAAGAGTTAAAACAGTTAGGGAAAGGAGGAAAGGAAAAGGGGAAAAAAATCACAATTGTAACATTATCAAAAAAACTGATCAGACCAAAACAAAACATTTTTGACATATAAAATAGTCAAGTTTTGCACATTCACACTATGTGCCCTGCACATGCATGTTGCTGGCCCCTTCAAAACAGCACATTAGACTGACAAGCACTTGATAAGTTAAACATCACATACAGGTTTCTCCTAAGACACTGGACATCACCTCTGAACCAATGATGTACTTGATACAGACTGTCAAGATTACTCATGATTTCGCCTTTCACTCTCCTCCTCCTCACATATACAGTAAGTCCTCAAAGGGAGAGGCAGCTCGGGTCAGCTGAGTCTGGTGGAAGATAGGTTTTGTGTGGGTAAGGCATGCAGTCAAGTTAAACTGTGGTTGGAATAATCATAATCCAGTCAATAATGCACTTCTAGGTCAGGTTCCTCTGTGACCAGAGAGATCAGTACTACTTATTTAGTTATTTTTATGTCCTGTGAGAAAAAAAAAAATCCAGATTTTTACTGTAACCTACAATGAAATTTCCCCTAGTGCTCAGTCACACCAGAGAGTAGCAAAGTAAAGTCAATTGTGTCTGTGAGGTGCTGAAAGGTTGGGGAAATGAAAGGAAATGTATTTCTTCCATCAACCTCAGTCTTACATCTCACTACAGACTCATTTTGGTAGAGCAGAAAGCTCATACTACTATTGCAGAAAGCATCGGATATGTTTCTGTAAAGCCACTAATATGTTAGCTACTCCCAGTTTCCTCTATTGTCAACACTGTCAAGATGGTTTGCAGCTAGTCAAGTGTGACAGAATTAATCTGAGTTGTAAGGTATGCAAAAGCCCTGTGCAAATTAGCAAGATGGAAACCACCTAGCACCTGCCAGACACAAAAGCTTAGCTGAGTTCCTTTCTATTTTTTCTGTACCGTGCCTTAACTCACCCCTGGCATTTTATTTTGTTCACAAAACTGTAAAGCATTTCATTCAATAAGTGTGATACACGTTCTTTGAGCTAATGAGACCTGCAAACTGCAAGCTTGTTAGCTTGGAGAACTCTCGGTTGCTAATAGGGTTACTGTTTATTTAAAAGATGTATTTTTACCATCAAATCCTGTTTCACAACTGTCTACAGACCTTTCCTCCTTTATGGAGCAGTTTATATTGTAACAGAGGAGGGACAACTGACTACAAGTTGATTGTGCAAACTATGCTACAGTAGCTATAGCACTTTTCTTTCTGGTCCCTCAACTGTTACCACGCAATATATTTAGTTGTAAGTTCAGTCCCATTGGAGTCAGCTGATTAAGTTACTAAATTTTGCTGTTTTATATGCTGGTGTGACTCAGCCCTCAGATAACATTTGAATCTAAAGGCTACAAAAACACTAATACCAACACAACAATACTAAAAAGGTTTGCCACTGCTTCCTCCGGTAGTCAAAAATGACCTAACGGTTACCAGCTTCAAAGACTGTTGTTAGTCTGTCTTCACTGGTCCAACATGGTCTAAATGTTTCATGGGAATAAAAGTTAAGTATCTAAAGATCTCAAATGGCAGCAACATACTGTGCCAGCGGAACCCAAGTGAGCACATCCTGGCTAAGGCGGCTTAACACAATTTGACACATGTGAGCATGTGAGTTTAGTAAGCTCTGCAGGTTTGTTCCAGTGCATTGCAGCATGACAAGCCTCTTGTCACTTACTGTAAGCCTGCAACCACAACAACCACGACTATAACAACAACTAGCCTGCTCCAACCGACAGGTGGCTGATGAGTTCAAATAGAGAGACTAGTGCTATTCTCACCTGGAATAGCCCACAGCAAAATAAGAGCTCTCTAATCTCTTAGTTAAAAAAAACAAACAAACAAAAAACACCCATAACCCATAGTGAGCTGCCTACAAACAGTGAGGTGTGCGTTTTCCTTCTTAACCAACAGTTGTCTGGCCATTTCCCCACATACAGTTTTCCACTGTTTCTGTGTATTTGCTCACTTTTAAATGAAAGAACATGACTCATTTCATAATGGGTGCATTTAGTAGAAGACGTGTAACCTCTGGAACTCTAGAGGAGGTTTGAGAGATAAAAGACACACTATTGTGTGAGCACAGTCTTAATTAACAAACATGCTTCAATAGTCATTAAGGTGATCCTGAATAGCCAACAGGATCAGAGGTAAAGCAATTCCTGTAGTGGCTGACTGGTGTTTGCTGGACTGTGACCTCTGATTCCTGACTCCAGAATTTCAGGGGAGTAAGTACAGGAATCACGACATTACAACTTACATTGCACCTTACCAGTATTGTTACAGCTATAAGTGGTCTATTCCATCAATCAGAACCCTACAGGAGATTAGCCCTTTTATTGTAGACATCCAGTTTCAGACCATGTTCAGGTATAAGGGTGATGTTTGTCATTGATTTAGGAGTTTGCTGGACTGGGATCAGATCATTGTGAGAGGGGAAGTGTAGGAATTACAACCTTAAGCTTTAGCTTATGTCTGTGGGTCCAGTCCCCTGTAATAAAACCCCCCTAAGCATGCTTCCTTCAACTCCAAGCCAAAGTAAAATGAGATGTCAACTAGCCCTATGCACTCCACTAAACAGAAATTAGACATTAAATTTCATAGATTATTCTTTCTGTATATTTGACATAGCACTTGGTGATTAAGAATTCTAGGCTTGTTTGGATATATTTTTGCTGACCTTTGTCGTCTTAGTTTCAAGTGTTACGAACTGATTTTTTTTTAAACTGGGAGGGCTAAGGTCCCCATTGAAAATAATGAGGACTGGCCCTTCACATAGAACAGCTATCATTCATATCAACAAATTATTTTACCAACAATAATAATTACTATCAATAGTACAATAGTCACAGAAGTAGTATGACTCATTTATTAAGTAAAATAAAGGAGGAGGAGTGGAATCTGTGGAGCTGGGAGCCATCAGGTGAACGTTTCTTGGGTGGTTAAAGTGGAGGTATACAGTATGTGCCTAATTGTTTCTGTGGTGAAACACTGTCTGGATCCTGGTTCGCTGCTGTGGTGCACTACTGTCCAGATATCCTGAAGATGAAACGCCACTGTCCAATAAGTGTACTGTTCCATCAGTAGGAGCCCTTCAGGAGATTAGCCCTTTAATTGATCAGTTTCAGATCGTGTCCAGGCATACAGGTGATGTTTGTCACTGTCCGTATGTGAAAGCGTACAGTATGTGAAGTTCTTTCGGTGCATGCATTCAGTCGCCCACGTTAGTGTCTCTGTCCCCAATGAACCAGCGCATGTGGAAGCATAGGGCAAGGAAGCCGGTCCCCAGCAGGTCACCCAGAGCGGTCAGGTAGGGGATGGAGAAGTTGTCAGGGTCCATTCCTCGGCCCCACATCCAGTGGACCATCCAGTCAGCCAGATAGAGGAGGATCATCACCTGGGGGAGGACGAGGTATGAGCAAATTTATTTATTTACAGGAACTACAGATGTTCCACTCCTTTCAGAAGCATCAAAAAGAAGGATATAACTGACATGTCCATTTTGTGGGAATGCATTTTAAATGTCTCTAAATGCAGTTGGGTTTACTAAGGTTTAAGAATAGAAAGTTTTATAGTTCCACCTGGAATACACAATTCTGAAACCTGACTTAGAATACAGTGTTATACTGTATTTACAAACAGAGGCTTCAGCTCCCCAGTTTGACATGGGATTACTGGGCTGCTATGTAGCTACTGTTTCTCTACAGCTGCCTTTCCAATCTTTCTCAGAAATGCCATCTCTGTGTCGTACACCGTGGATCAGACCAAGTAGGAGACCCGCCTATATTGTTCTCCCCTACACGTAGAAGGTAATTTTCCAGCTATGTGAGCAATATTGTATTACATTAATAAAAATCATTTTTAAAGGCACAGGAAGCATTTTATGCTACCCACACATGAGTAACTATCTGCACCTCCACTGTCAAAAAAGTGATGCACTAACCCTCACCGACATAACTTGTAAAGGTCAGTACTCTATATTTTACAATTTCCTTTCATGACTCATTCTTATCACACTCAACAGACTCAATCTCCAGAAAACTAGAGATGTGGAGGATGTATTTGAAGGAGGCTGAGTGGAAAATAGCCTGTTATAAACCCAGAGTCATGCTGTAATACAAAACTGAAGATAGAGCAATATAAATGATTAATGAAGCCAGACTAAGCCATGTGTCTCCTGATGTTCCAAAGATTCATTAATTCCTTGTTTATGACCATGTACAAAGCTACAGCATTTCTGGAGGAGTGTGGAAGCCATATAACCGGAAAGGAAGTTTGAGCCAAACTTGGTGAACACAGAATCTACCCTGAAATCTTTGTTGCCCCTGACAGACTTTGGACTTTTACAAACCAGGAGGATAACGTCACTGTTACAGAGAAACATGAGCATACTTTCAAGGAATATGGATAGAGGAGCTGGCTCTTGCTTTGGACCAACCTTAATCTCTTTGCAGAAATTAATTTATACTGTGAAAAGAACTATGAAGCCCTTTCACTGAGCTTTTAGAAACTCTGTGCACTGCTCTAGCAAAGTTCAGTTTTATATCACAGCACAGTGAGAACTTTTAGCCTCAGCGTGTAAAACACTAGCCTAATGGTCCCAATGGAAACAGCATCCAGGTGGGAAGTCGGAATGAATATATTTCTATGAATAAATGAATATGGCAGTGACTTACATAAGTTAAGGAAAGTCACTTTCGCCTTTTCACGTTTAGGGGTCGTCAACATGCGAATCGTCACAGCGAATCGTCACACTGACGACTCGCATGTTGACATTTGGCACGTGTTTTATGCCGGATGCCCTTCCTGACGCAACCCTGATTCAAACCCGGGGCGCAGCGGCGAAACGGCTGACTTACATAAGTTACAAAATCTTTATTTATATAAACACAGTCACTGGTGAAAGAATATGACTACCTCTGTGTAGTTTCATCAGGATACTTGCATGCATTTGTGACACATTCACACTCATTAAACTCATCCAGTGTTGTAGTAGTTGCATTTGCCTATATCTGAGAGGATCTGCTACCACACCCTAAAGAGAGTTGAGTAAGTCAGGCTCAGCTTATAAACAAACTCATGTGCAGACATCTGACTACATTACGTCCCCTACTGCTGTTGTTACTGCTACTCTAATCAAATTTACAAATACTAATAACTGATCAGTTTTCAGTCTCATTCACGGCACAAACAACATTTATCTATGAGTTTAGTGATGTACATCAATTAATAATGGGATACCACTGCACATCAGGTTTAGGTCCAGTAACACCTTTGGTTATGTATACTGAGAGAGTGTACCTGGAGTAGTGCAGCAGCCAGGTAGAAGGTGATGAAGATGGATGTTAGAGTGGTGTGTCCCCCCCTGAGGGAGTTGATAGTGTAGAGGAAGACGATGTGACCTGGGGCGACCAGGAGGAAGAGCACGCGGGCTGAGCGAGAGTTCACAGCTGAAAGAGAAAGAGAAGCTACCTTTGATCCAGCCAGACATAAAAACGGAATTTAACTACATTTATATAACATTTAACAAAAACCGCAGCTGCTCTTGTTTAGGACAGACAATAAACCCAATATGTTAAAGCTCAATTCAACAATATTTCTCATACAAAGATGAAATCTTCAGTGGTAATATCCACAGTGGAAAGATCTGTTTTTAACGGATAAAATGAGGAGAAAAAAATAGTGGAACATTCTGCAGCCGCCCGTCAACTTACTGGAGCCGAAGAAGGTGGTGCAGGGTGTGGGGCACTTCCTGGGTGTGGGGTTGGGATCCTCCATGGGTAGCCCCATGTGTAAATAGGTGGAGATTCGACTGGCCTGCACTGCGACCAGGTTACCTCCCACACCTGGTAAACACACACACACACACACACACACACACACACACACACACAGTAAAAATCTCAAAAACAGAGCAAAACATCCTCTATAACAGTGTGATGACCCTGACATTAAAACAGATGTTGCAGTTGTGGTGTTTTTCATTTTCAAATATGAAATGTTCAAAAATCTGGCATTATGGAGATACCACTGACTGCATATAAAAGCTGGACAAACCCACTGTGACGTCACCCATTGGTTTTCTAAAGAGCGGGGGACACAATCATGAAGTGGAATGAAATTTATTGGATATTTCAAACTTTTTTAACAAATAAAAAACTGAATAATTGGGCGTGCAAAATTATTCAGCCCCTTTACTTTCAGTGCAGCAAACTCTCTCCAGAAGTTCAGTGAGGATCTCTGAATGATCCAATGTTGACCTAAATGACTAATGATGATAAATAGAATCCACCTGTGTGTAATCAAGTCTCCGTATAAATGCACCTGCACTGTGATAGTCTCAGAGGTCCGTTTAAAGCGCAGAGAGCATCATGAAGAACAAGGAACACACCAGGCAGGTCTGAGATACTGTTGTGGAGAAGTTTAAAGCTGGATTTGGATACAAAAAGATTTTCCAAGCTTTAAACATCCCAAGGAGCACTGTGCAAGCGATAATATTGAAATGGAAGGAGTATCAGACCACTGCAAATCTACCAAGACCTGGCCGTCCCTCTAAACTTTCAGCTCATACAAGGAGAAGACTGATCAGAGATGCAGCCAAGAGGCCCATGATCACTCTGGATGAACTGCAGAGATCTACAGCTGAGGTGGGTGACTCTGTCCATAGGACAACAATCAGTTGTATACTGCACAAATCTGGCCTTTATGGAAGAGTGGCAAGAAGAAAGCCATTTCTTAAAGATATCCATAAAAAGTGTCGTTTAAAGTTTGCCACAAGCCACCTGGGAGACACACCAAACATGTGGAAGAAGGTGCTCTGGTCAGATGAAACCAAAATCGAACTTTTTGGCAACAATGCAAAACGTTATGTTTGGCGTAAAAGCAACACAGCTCATCACCCTGAACACTCCATCCCCACTGTCAAACATGGTGGTGGCAGCATCATGGTTTGGGCCTGCTTTTCTTCAGCAGGGACAGGGAAGATGGTTCAAATTGATGGGAAGATGGATGGAGCCAAATACAGGACCATTCTGGAAGGAAACCTGATGGAGTCTGCAAAAGACCTGAGACTGGGACGGAGATTTGTCTTCCAACAAGACAATGATCCAAAACATAAAGCAAAATCTACAATGGAATGGTTCACAAATAAACATATCCAGGTGTTAGAATGGCCAAGTCAAAGTCCAGACCTGAATCCAATCGAGAATCTGTGGAACGAACTGAAAACTGCTGTTCACAAACGCTCTCTATCCAACCTCACTGAGCTCGAGCTGTTTTGCAGGAGGAATGGGCAAAAATTTCAGTCTCTTGATGTGCAAAACTGATAGAGACATACCCCAAGCGATTTACAGCTGTAATCGCAGCAAAAGGTGGCGCTACAAAGTATTAACTTAAGGGGGCTGAATAATTTTGCACGCCCAATTTTTCAGTTTTTTATTTGTTAAAAACGTTTGAAATATCCAATAAATTTCGTTCCACTTCATGATTGTGTCCCACTTGTTGATTCTTCACAAAAAATTACAGTTTTATATCTTTATGTTTGAAGCCTGAAATGTGGCAAAAGGTCGCAAAGTTCAAGGGGGCCGAATACTTTCGCAAGGCACTGTATGACGTGACCCTCCTGCCTGTCACTCAAAGTGGCCTCTCCCTTAATTATGCGTAATGTTTAGTCTCAATATAATTAAATAGGCAAGTGATAAAAAAAAAAAAATCACCTTTGCACAGTTGTCATGGAGAGAGAAATTAGCTATAGAGACCAAGAATGTTTCTTGTACCAGACTGTAAACGTGTATTTCTGCTGTAAAGTTGGGCATTTTAACACAGGAGTCTATAGGGAGAGACTCCCTTTTGGAGCCAGCCTCAAGTGGCCATATGAGGATCTGCAGGTTTTGGCACTTTGGCTATTTTGCTTCATTTCTCAGCTTTGGAGTTTCCACCTTGTATCTGCCAGTTTTAAAAGATCACAACAAACATGTTCACTCTGGCACACATGTATTAAAACAAACAGGGGTCATGGACATGTTAAAACAGACATGTTTATACTAAAATATATCTGTTCTCCACCTCCTTGAATGAAGCTGTCATATCAATTTTGAGGTTTATTTAGCACTCTATTTGTATGGTGTTTTATTTATTAGCATATTGGCTAACTCACTTGTCTTTTCCCCTTATTTCTATACCTCACTGTCTGCTGCTGGGCTCACCTACTTTTCCCTGTCCTCAAAAACACAATTAAAGTTGCACCTAAATGTAAAATTGTCTTGTAACTTATATGACTCCTCACCGTTGATCACTGGGGTAAAGACAGCCATGCCGGTGAAGTTTGGGTTGGTCACAGTCTTATCAAGGATCAGCCCGCCAACACTACAAAACAGAACGGAAAATCACTACATAGAAAGTAAGATCTGCCACACACTTATAAAACTGGCGCGTTTGGAAAATAATAGACTTATAATTGTACTTGTGATATTTTGAAAATGAAGGCTGTTTGCATGACATTATGTAAAAATGGTAATACCTGAGTGTATGTGCACAGTATATGTACAGTACAGTGATGTATACAAACTGGATGCTGCAGTCTGTCAGGCTGATCTGATGAAAGGTTGAATAAAGTGAATGATTTCTGCATCCTGTACCTGCTGATGGCCATGGCAATGATGACTGGCTCCCAGCCGGAGTAGAGGACTTCTCTGGTGGATGGAATCTTCCTGGCTATCAGCACCCATAGGGGACACATGGCCACAAACACTGCACATACCAGTGGGTTGGCATAGTCATTGTATTCTGTATGGGAAGAGGAGAATGCGGATTTACACACAGGACAAAGATGCTATTATACTTTCCACAGAGAAATGTTTGGATAATTTCATTCAGTGTACTCTAAGCATTTATTTCATTTCAAATTATTTGAGGGGTCTGATTATTAGCAAAGACAGTAGGAGATTTACTGACTTTGCAATGTAAACTGTAGGATTGAAGTTGAGAGTGACTTAACTTGATGTATTTATATGATAAGGCAACAGAAAAAAATACTATCAACATTTATTGATGAATGGGATTAAATTCACAGCAAAGAAAGAGCAGTGTAAATGTTTCTATATCAGAGCTTCAAATGAATTAAGTCCAAAGTATAAACATTTGAAACCTGAACTGCACAGACCTGGATCTGGACCGACTGTAAGTCCCTGTTCTAGTCTTGAGGTGGCAGTGTAACTACTGAACTGGCACTGCAGGAGACTACAAACCACCATTTACACAAGATTTATGTAAACAGAACACTTACATACCCATGACCCAGACACCAGCTGTATTTTTGTATATCTGAGCCAAAATAACCCAAGTAAGCTCAATATAGAACTTGACTGTGACATTTAAAGTGAGTGAGGCTCTTGTGTCAGTGTTTGTCTGTCTGTCTGTTTGTTTGTCTGTGGTGTGGAAACGATGGAACCGTGGGGAGCCGGGTGTGTCACCGGTGGAGATTCTATCAGCGAGCTAACAACAGAGCCGAACAGCTGCGGAGCTGAAACATAGCAATTAGGCGTTAGGTGTGGGCAGCTTTCATCCTTATTTACCAGGCACAGCTGGAGTCACACTTCACACACTTCTACACATGCTGCTCCCTTTTATGATACCACCTGATGGTGATCAGGAAAAGGAGACCTCTGAAGTTTTATCACAAATGCAGCATCTGTGGTGATCACCGAATAAAAGGCTCTGAGTTGCTGTCTGTCTCTCTGTGTCAGACTGGCGACCTGTCCATAGTGTACCCCACCTCTCACTCAGTGTCAGCTGCGATCGGCCTCCAGCCTCCCCTTGACCCTTTAAATGATGAGCAGTACAAATAATGGATGGATCCCATCTCCTCAATATATTTCTTGCCCACACTCAGCTCAGTAAGACCTGGACTGTATACAAGAACCAAGTGAGTGGAAAATACACTGTAAAACAACAAAAATGTCTTCCCTTGAAAAACCTTGACGTCTGACATTTGTGGAACAACTATGCACCAATGAATGAACAGTATGTCAAAGCTGTGAACTGTGGGTACATCTCCATTCTCTCACTTGCATCTTTTTATTGTGAGGAAAAATGCAATGAAATAGTAATAGAGGAAACACGTTTTTAGAGACGTGAGACATCCTTTCCTTCGATCCTTCATCTGAAACGTCAAATCACCAACCAATTTCCAAAAAGGGGGCCTGTCAGTCCACAAAAGACTTCTGTGAAGCATGGTTTTGTGTATCCCCACTTACTGCTTCTCAAAACAGGAGGTTTGGGACATCCTTCAAGATGCTGGATAAAAGAACTGGGGTGCACTCTGTGTAGGTGAGTGTATTACCTAGTTCCGTGTACAGTCCTGTTGAGATGCCTGCCAGTAGGGACAGGGTGATCAGGTCTCCCAGGCTTGCAGCGATGGGTGTGGCCACGTTGTCAGGGTTAATGCCAACTTTTCTGGCTGCGACGATCACACCGATCATGATGAGTCCTGTGGGATGTCATAACTTAAAGACATCTGAGGGTACTGTATGTCACACAATATAGGTCATATTAATATGTGATATATGGGATGTTCTACAGTGTAAGTGTAACCTGGGTTAACAGAGCCCTGGTTGAATAAAGGCCTGTTAGTAAAAGTGGCTTTGAATACAAACGAGAAGGTCAGTGGATAAATGTGCGTAAAAAAAAAAAAACACTACAATGTTATTTATTATTTCATGGTGTTATATTTTATTTTGGTTAAAAACCATGTTAAAAAGTGTAAATTCATTGGGTACCATTGTAATTTGTTTTGAAATAGATGTCATCTAGACTTTTATATTGAAAAGGCACGCTGCTGCCGAGAGCCATGTGACTAGTAACAGCCAACCATATCGCTGTGACCTCTCTGGTTCAAGAAGAGGAAGATGCAGAGGCTGGTGTGCCTTTAGT